ACTGGACAGTCACCTTGCTGGGGTCACTTGAGCTCAGTTGTCTTCCTGCCTAGAGCGGGGCGGGGCGGGGAGGGTGGACCCAATGATCTGTGAGGTCCCATCAAGCCCCATACAGTCTATGAATATTAATGCATGCACATTTCCCAGCCAAACATGTTAAGATGGAAGAAAAATCCAAGATTATAAATTCTCTTGAGATGCTAGGCCAGTTCTTTTCTCCCTGGCCAAACTGGGCTCTGTGGTGGCTTTACATTCACAACCATTTGAAAGAGTTCCTTTTCTTTTAATCCAACTAAAAGACAAGGAAGAGAATTGCCCCCAAAGGATCATTCATTCTTTAGAAATAATTGGTCATCTGGGCATCAGAAAAAAAAATAGCTGTTGATATAGAACTGATGTAACTACATCCAATTCATTTCTTCTCTGGATATCTCCACTCATAAGATACAAGATTCTGTTGCTCAGGAAAGCAACAGTCGGTTACCCTATTTAAAATAATTCAAATTTAAATGGATGTGAGCATTCTCTCTTTCTCTTTCCTTGTCCTCTCTTTCTCATTGTTATAGGAGAAAAGAATGAAGTATCAAGTCTTAAAATCTCATATACCCAGGGATCATGTTTCTACTGTTAGGTGAGTTTCTCCAATTGTATTTCAATGTAATATGTGATACTCATTTTGAAATCATATTGTGAATGCAACCATGGGGAGTTCAGTGTATCCAGTTACTTCTTCAGTGGCTTGAAAACTGATTTTCAGAAGGAACAAAAAAGAATGAGGTGTTTGCTAAGGGGATTTTTGAAATTCCATGCAGTTACACATTGTAGGGCAGTGGTTCCCAACCTTTTTTTGCCACTACCTGCTGCTGGGAGCGGAGTGCACTGGCGGCGGCCCAGGGGCAAAGGAGCTCCTGGCATGCAGAGTGGCTCATCCTTTTCATAGATTCATAGATGTTAGGGTCGGAAGGGACCTCAATAGATCATCGAGTCCGACCCCCTGCATAAGCAGGAA